TTCTGGAGTTGGGAATGACTGGGCCTTTTCCTGGATGTGCCCCTCCCTGTGATGACTCTTGGGAGGGATCTTGAGAGGTCACCTAGTCCATCCCCCAAGAAAGGAGCAACCCTTTCTAAACCATTCCTGGCACTTCTATAAATTATTGTTAAAATAATCTCCTGTGATGGATACTCTGCAGCTCCCCTAGGTCACCTGTTTCGTTGTTGATAGAAATATTTCCCCGATGTCTAACCTGAATCTCCCTCATTACAATTTAAGCCCATCACTCATCAGCCTGTGCCTAGGGGACATGGAAACCACCATAGCATTGGAGCACCAACCTGGTATTCAAAGGATCCTGAGCCCAAACTGAATTTCACTGGCACACGGGGCACCTGCTTGGAAAACCCATCCAGTCTGGCAAGGTTGGAAGCGTTATCCCCCATTTGGCAACCCCTTTCATTGTGGAAGTGGAACGTGACAGCCCAAGGGCCCGCGGCACTCGCTGACCGGCTAGGGACTGAACGCAGGTCTCCTGGTTCTCATTGCATAGCTTTGATATCATGAAAGTTTATAGAAAAAACTTTTCAAGCGGTGTCTATGTCCGAATCGCTGATTCTCCGAATCGGCATCAAATCTTCAGGTTTGGCTGAATGGAATCAGGGACGGCGATCTGAATCAATGAATCGAATCACTGTCCCCGATTTGGGCCAAATCCGAATCGAATGGGGCCCGCTTCGCACACCCCTACGTGAAACGCCCCCTGAGCATGCACGTTCCCTGTATTTCACTTGTAGCTCAGCCCGGGGTTCCCGTGCACAAAGCCGGCTGTAGGGAAAATGGTGCCCTGGGAGAACCTGTATTTTGGTGCTCCTCCCAGTCAGTGGCACTGCTGCAGGGTGGACTGCAGCAAGTGTCATCTTGCCCGCGTGTGCTTGGTCCGCTTCCTCCTGAGTTGCAGTGGGAGCCATGGGCTGCGAGAGATGCTGTCTTTACTCTAAGCTCAATAGCCAGGGGCTCTGTTTCATAAGAACTGCCATACTATACACAATATCATTTTCTTTCTCAGTTTCCAGTTTCAGCCTAGCTGGCACGTTTCTGAGCTCCCCTGTACTGTGTCACTGCACTCGCCTCCTCCAAATCTTTGCTGGGGTTTCTATGGGATTTTTCACTTCCCGTCCTAAAGCATTGTGCAGGATAGCTGGGCATTGCTAGCCAGCTGCCGTGGGCCACCTGAGAGGTAAAGTCATTGCAGTAGAGTTTGGAAAGCTCCTCAGGCTGCCAGGCTAACTGCAAATTAGGCAGTCCTCTAAATTCTAGGGGCAATTAAAGGAAACGATCTCTTCTTTCATAACCATTGACACAGGTGGTATTTGCAGATTAAAAACTGCTCAACTCTAAAATTCCAGCATCTTTTTTTTAAAAGCTGTATTTGAGACACAAGCAAGAAGCAACTGCTGCTGTCCTAACACAACTGAGGCTGGCACTGGGACTGCTATTAGGCCCAGCGGTGGTGTGGCTGACTTATTTCATCTTCAGCAGCCACGCGAAGAGCGACTTTCAAAGGAGCCAAGTTCTGCACAGCCCCGGCCACCTGGAGGACAGGCAGGTTTTCAGACGGCCCCAGCACCACTCCAAGCCTGGTGTGGAAGCACGTGCAAGTCAGCAAGATAGGACCGTTGCTGTTTGAAGACCTGCCAAACTCGTCTTCACCCAGCATCACATAGCTCAAACATGAATCAACCACCGGCAAAGTAACAATGGCATGGTGTTGGCAATGTGCCGCAGTTAAAAGGGGAATAGCTCACCAGCCCGACCTCCTCCACTGGTGTGGCTACTCAGTGAGGGGGAACCTAT